CCAGCCCTCTTTCCTGCCTATGCAGGGGGTCGGACTCGATGATCTATTGAGGTCCCTTCCGACCCTAACATCTATGAATCTATGAATCTATGAAACCATCCCCTTAAGCTCCTGCTCTTACCTCTAGGATGTTGCCTACAGCCTTGCAGCCAGGCGATGTTTCTGCCTGGCCTGCCAGCAGCGAACTACTCTGTTTATATAGCCAGCCAGAGTTGTAAAATGGCCACCATAAACAAGCACCTGCTGGCTGTTTGGTTCAGCCCTTAAAGTGGCAGGTACCACCAGTGCCCTGGCACAGGCTACAAAACCATTTTGCCCAGTGCTTTAGGGTGTCTCCAAAACATTGCCAGAATTTTCAACTGGCAAGTGGGACTGCATTTTGTTGGCGTTCAGCAAAAGCTGAAGAGGCAAACAGAAGCTATACTGGACATCTATACAAGTCTTTTACTGCGAAGTAGACTAATTAGCTCCATAGTAAATGTCTTGGTGTTTACACATGCAGCCTTATTAGGCCACAGGAAACAAGATAGTATATGTAAATACAAGTACTATCCTGCTGCAGATTTTTTTTTATATGCAGCAATGCATATGTAGATGCTGACCCTATTGGCTGTGACATGAGGGTGCTTCAGGGCAGGGGCTGCCTGCCAGCTAGCCCCGCACTGGGACACCTTTGTGCCCCAGCCAGTCCCTCTCCAGCATGTTGAACCATGCCGGAGCAGCCATAGCCTGGCAGGCTGGCCCCCCAGGTCCCTGCCACCTGGAGCTGCTTTGACCTGATTCAACATGCTGCAGTCCCAGGTGCTTGTGTAAATGCAGTGCCCAGAAGCAATAAACTCTGGTGTGATATGTACTGGAGTTTATCGCTTTGCCTTACTATGCAAGTGTAGATGCACCCACTGTTGACTATATTGAAAAAACTGAGAGGAGTACTTGCTTTTCTTACCATGATGGAAGAGAGCCCTGAAACACCAAGGAGACAGGCCATGCCGGTAGTGAAGCTTGGATCCAACATAAAAGGGATCATACCACCTACTGATGCTGCCAACAAACCACCATTCAGGTAATGGCGACCAGGTAGAAGGAGTGCTGCTGAGTTCAGCATACCTAGGACAAACCATGGATGTTCAAATTAATATATCACTCAGTTTATTCCATAAACATTTTAATGAAAAAAGTACTGGAAGTCAGTATAAGCTATAGACACAGTTAAAGCACCAAAAGGCCAAAGATGGCAGGGCCCCACCATCTCAATTTATGCAGAGGAATGAGTGGCCTACTGCAGTTAAAATGTAACTATGCAGTTGCTTGAAAGAAATACTCATAAAAAGTTTCCTACTTCCCAACAGCTCCTTTTCAGTTCTTAGCTCCCAAGAAATGATCTTTTTCCATTAAACTTTGGGAAAATCTATAGCCCTAAGGGCCATTTGAGGTTTGTTCAGGCAACAGTCTTTGAGGAAGTGGACCAGTCTTACAGATGTCTAGAGTTCATATGCACCAATCCTTGGCCTTACACAGTAAGGATTGTCTTGAAGGCACTTCATTTCACTGGCTGGTAATGCTGTTTCTAGTTTCAGCTTTAAACCAAGAAAGCAAGCATACTATGGGCTGTGGCCTGTAGTTAGTATCACCTACCAGACTTCTACTCCAAACCAGTACATTAGGATTTGGCATACCAACTGACTCCCTTGATATCATCCCTAGGAGTGAAATGGATAACACCAGGGCAGCTTCCCAGAATGTACCATCTGCAGTTGGTAATGAGGACCAAATAATTATTTGGAACAAAAAGCCCTGGTGGCTATTTATCCTTAGAAATTATTGTGGCCAGAAAAAGATCCATATTTTAGTATTCTCACTGTTTTAATACTGACTAGTACCACAGATTTGTTACCTTCTTGTACTTGAACTGTACCAGAGCAACACTTTCCCCTAGTTCCCATTTTTACATGTGTAGCTTTTAAAGAGATTTCACTGGAATTCAACAGGAGTTGGGGCAACTAAATCCCATTAAGACTCCTTGCAAAAGGCATCTAATTTATCTAACATGAGACACATCAAAAAGAAGGGTACCTTGCAATTTTCCATAAGCTACTAAAGAGCCACTGAAGGTGACACCCCCAATGTAGGTCCCTAAATAGGCAACAGTTTTGAGAACATTGGCAGAAGGGTGAACATCAAGGTGTGGATATTCAATCATATACTCAGCAATGCATGTAAGAACAGCTGCCAAACCAACCAGACTGTGAAATGCAGCTACAAGCTGTGGAAGGTCAGAGATTTCAATCCGTTTCGCAATGGTAAGACCTGCAAAATAAAATTAGTTAGATCTAAGATTAAAATATGATATTGTATTTCATAATCTCTTGAAGTATAAACAGGCAGTTAAGCAACAAAGGATCATTTGCTTTCTTGTGTTGTTTTCCTTTTTGTGCAATGTAGTAGAAATATAATAGTTGCAAGAACTTATAACCTAATTTAAGTCTCCTCCAAAAATATATTTGCTAGAACATTTTAAGATGACAGCCTGTAAGAAACAGAGCCAAATTGGGGCTTTTGAAGCCACAACCCCTTGTGCAGGGGATGGGATACTGTGGGCGCACTAGAGTTTCCAGACATATTCTGCCTGCAGGGAACCCAAGCAGGCAAAATGCCTCTGGAGGCATTAGACGAGTACACAGCGTTCTCAGTGACAGGCTGGCAATGGCAGGATCTCTTTCCCAGCATTCTTCGATATAAGGCTTCCATAACCCAAGGATGTTGGACAAGATGCTGCCCAAAACTTATTCATCTGGGCCAAACCAAGAACAAAGCAATGCTGGATATGAACCCTGCCTTACAATATTCATGGGGGGGGTGGGGAGGAAATAAAACTTTTCATACAAAACACTCTCTGCCAAAAAACACAGACTCAGGTTGACCAAAACATTTAGTGAATTTGTGTCAGCTTTGGTAAATGGTTTCAGTCAAAGAAAAAAATCAAAAGGTCTATTTTGTTTTGATTTTTTTTTTAATGAAATGCTTGAATTCTTCCTTATGAAACATCATTATGTTCTGAAATTGAGTTCAATTTTATTGAAGAACATTTTTAGACATTTTAAAAGCTTGATAACAAAATAAAATGTTTATTTCTGAGTTGAACTAAATATTTTAAACCCCCAAATTATTTTTAAACTTTTTAATACATTGATTTTCTGATTGACTTGAAGTTGATTTGTTTCCCATTTTTTGGACCTCAGAACAAATGAGAAACCGGTTATTAGCACAGCTCTAGTCAGAATACTCTATCATAGGGACTTTGAGGCTACATTAGCTTCAGAAGCCTAACGCTACAACTGAACATGTATAAAACTCTGGATTTCTAATTCACCAAGTAATCCGGACAATAAACCAGTCTTTCAAATGAAATGGCACCTGTGAGAAATGGACTTGCCAATTTCCCCATCACCCCTGTTGTGCCCTCCCTGTTTTTTTAATGGACCTATTGTAAGAACACTCAAAAGAGCTCAAGTAGAGAGTTTGAAGATTTACAGTTGTTTGGCTTGTCCTTTCTACAACTTTCTTGAGTCACCTAGAAGGAAATTGCAGTTGAAAAAATATTTTCAGAGAGGGGGGAGCTGTCTGCTGTGAAACTGCCAGAACTCCACAGGATTTTGACAAGGATGACTGGCAAGGCAATTAAAACAATCCCTGAAAACTATAGAAGAGCCTTTTGGGAAATACTGTAATCATAATTTCTATTATTACAGGCACCATTTTGAGCCTTGATAACAGCTAGGTCCTTTGACTATAAGCTGATGGCAAGTGCATATTCAAGTTAAATATTTCCTCTGTTTTAGCCTTAAGCTATAGAAAGAAATGGCCAAACTTAAACACATCTGTTTTACCATCTTACATTTTCTTCTTAGCCAAGAGTGCTCCTGTCAGGACCTAAAGTACTTTTTAAATGCATTTTCCCATTGGATTATAAATAAATATTAATTAATAAATCATTAGTGAAGCTGGCATGAATTTAAACTCTACCTGCTGAACAAAATGGTATACATACCAATTGTGCCACCAATAGCCATGGCAGTGGACATCTGAGCGAGTAATTCTGGGGCAGGTTTCAGTGCTCCTAGCGTAGCAGCTAAACCACCAGCCACCCCAATCATACCTAGGGCATTACCAAGTCTAGAAGTGTTCTGACTAGAAAGTCCTGCCAGTGCACCAACACAGCAAAGGCCTGAGCCCAGATACATCATCTGTAAAAAAACAATGCCAAGTTAATACACAGTGGCATGGAATTACTGTGCTTCTTCTCTTTCACAAAGTCTCCAGGATCTCCACCAAGATTTGGAATAATGGAAAGTTCTTACGTTATTCATGTATTTTTCTCAGCCTTTGACATTAAAATTTACCCAAGTTATTATCTTTTGTTCATACCAGTATATTTCTTTTCATACCTCTCCACACAGATAAGCATTAAGAGCAGAGTTACAGAGATTAAACTTTAAAGGTCCAATTCCCAATAATATTTAAATACACATTTTCAGTTATTTTCATAAATATTGATCTAGTGGTTTTTTGCACTCTTCAGTGTCCTAAACGATTATGTATCTTCAAATGTGCATGTCAGTGGGCTTCATTCTTTCTGCTCTCTTTCTAGAGTTGAGTAACAAACTAATAACAAATTGGTTAAAGCTTAAAGATATTAGGTAAAATTATCTTCACAAATTTTTTTAATTTTTCAATTTTTCATTACACATGATTTAAAATGACTTTAGCCTTTATTTTCTGTGTTTGTGTGGAAGAAATACATTTTCTCAAACCAGTCATTCAAATATCATTTTAAAGATTATAATGCTATGAGATCATTTCCACTGATTCTGTTACTTTGATTCCTTAGTGTTTTGTTATACAAAATACTCCGAAATCCCTTCATGATGATGCATTTATAAACAACATGTGGTGTTCTCTCTCATGTTTAAAAGCATCTGGGTGATTTTAAAATCATGAATGCTAAATGTTCCCTTTTTTGACCTGTATTATTAAATACATTGACAAACAAGAATCCAAAACCATATAGTCATAAAAAATAAAAGGATTCAGTCCATCATTCTCTAATCATTTAGTAGAGAATGAAATGTACAAACAAAATGAAGCAGAATAATTCCCTGATAAAATCCAGAAAAGGCCATCAAAAAATGCTCTGCTTATGCAAGTTTTCAAGAAATATCATAGGAAACATCAAAAGACCAAATTTATACTGTATAAATGGGCAATACTTGGCAAAAGTCACCAGAGCTTTACCCATTTACACCATCACAGAATTTGGTGTTGTCTTTCTAATTATCAGGCCATTCCTCAGAACTGATTAAGTCCAAATCTAAGTGTACACTGAGCTATTGTTTTATTGGAAAACTGAAATCTGTAAACATCTACTACTGCTCCCAATTCAATCTCTATTCTGTTGCTCACAAAGATATTTATAAGAGATTAGATTTGTATTTTATTGGCATTTTTGGTGTATTGTTCATGGAGAGAATTGCATTGTTTAGTTCCGTGAACTCAGGTATTTGGTGTCCTACAACATTGGTTTAATACAGTTTCAAAGAATAGGCCTCTAATGAAAAACTACTCCAGAAACAGCTGTTTGGGAAATAAACCATGAATGTTCCTAGGCCTACTGACTGTTAAATGACCTTCTGATCAGTTCCAAGATATTTATCAGATTTCTTTCCAGAGATGGTTTTATTTTAAGTAGTTCAAGGAATTCATGAAAACTAGCACCTCATTTATTCCAGATTTTTGGTGAGGAACACTTTTCTGGGAGGTTGAAAATCCTTAAGGTTTTTGAGAGGACTGGTTCATTTCCCTTAAGATTTCAGATTACCATAAGATCATTCACAAAATAGTTTCCTTCAGTGTTTTCAGTCAACATAGTTGTTGCTCCATAGAGTCTATTTCTGATTTTAAAAAAATTATTCAAAGTGTTTGTGTTTTGAATAATGGCTAAAAATTTGCAATTCAACTAGAACCTAGCGACTGCTTTAAGAACCTTAGCTTAATAGCACAGGCAGAACTGCACTGTCTGTCAAGGTTAAACGCAAGTGCCTTTGGATAGAGAGCATAGCTGCCCTTATTCCTGTAAAGTGAAAGTGTCTCAAGGTGCTCAGTAAATAATAAATAAAAATAATTTAATAAAAGATCTATAGCAGGAGGGTTTCTCACTAAAGCAGAGAAAACCCATTCACAAGAATTTGTAGAAACTGCCAAATTTTGCCTTTCAGAATAGAGAGCAATGAACCATTCACCCAACAGAACACAAGACAGACACATTACTGTCACTGCTAGGTTTTGTGTTCTGTCCTTTGGGATGTGTGCTGTTTAAGTGCCCAATTTTGTTGACTGGAAGGAATCATTTACTGAAGGGTTTTGTTTTTATTTTCTTATAAATATTCTGCTCTGCACATCAAGAGAGCATTCAAAGGATTATTAAAGCAAAGGCAAAGACCTTCTAAATCACTGGGATGCTGGAATATATTGTAAAGCATAGCCTATGCTCTTTGATACCTTGTAATAGAAATTCAGAAAAGCCATAATTAAACAACATTTCCACCATCACACACTTCAGAAATTCTATACTTTACTTTTTAAAAAGCTTGCTGAAATTATGTACGTGCACAATTTCTTTCTCTGCATAGTGAAAACTTTACTGGATTTCACCTTTCTTAAGGAAAGCGTGAGATGACAAACAGATCTTTATGGAAAGGAAATGTAGATTCAATATCTAATCTAGTGGTTCTCAAACTTTGTGGGATCAAAGCACTCCTCAGAAAATGCCAGCTCTTAGTTTTCACTTGTTTTTTGACTAGAGAAAAATAATAGACCATTTTTTATATTGCAAAGAACTTACAAAGACCACTACATGGTAGAATGTTTTTAACACTATGAATTCCTATGTGAAATCTCTAGGTTTATTGTGTGAATTATGCTTGCACACCTAACAGTGCTAACATTGCAAGGCACCTTATGGCACTCTTTAAAGCATCTCAAATCATTAAGAATCACTGATCTAGTCTTTAATTCAATTAAACTCTTATTGAAGTTATATTGAAATTTTGCCTGAATAAAGGACTGTGGAATACAGAAAGGCTCTAAAATCTGAACATTCAGAAATATAAATGTTGTCTGACTTGTCCAATATTATGTCCACTGGCAAGAGAAGCACCATAACCTCTAAGAACTTTCCCCTCCCTTATTGTTTGGGAAATTACTAGAAAATAAGAGGCCTGATGACCCAGTGATGAGTAATGAAGAATATTAGCAAATGGGTCAGCAATAAATTAAGGACCCAAATCTGCCAAGCTTTTACTACTGTGAATGCCCCTTAAAACGTATATCATTAAATACAATGGCTAGTAGTAAGTATCTGCAGAAGCAGGGCCTTAATTTGCTGGCATCACTAGATTTGCTAGCACAGGTGAGCCCATAGGTGACATGTAGAGGGGACATCGGGGGAGGGTGGAACGTGCCCCCCCGAGATTGACCACCACCGAAGCCGCTGCTGGCTTCTGCGGGCCATCACTGTTCATACCTGCCTCCTCCTTGCTGCTGACATGGCTGGCGGCATCTGCAGGCAGTTCTCGCTTGCTGCTCGCCACCATGGTGCCCCATCAATCTCAGGAGGCACCAGTCATTCATGACTGAGCCTAGCTGATTAGATCGCTAACCTGACTACTGAGTAACAGAAATCGGAACATTGTCTGACCTGTTCAATACTATGTCCACTGGCAAGAGAGGCACCATAACCCCCAACAAACAGAGCTCCAGGGAGGAGGTAGAGGTAATTATATTCAGGTGGATCTGTAGGTCGCTTGAACATATCCAGCATTCGCTGTGTAATTAAGAAACCACCTGTTGGGAAATACAAGTTTGAACTGTAAGAATGAGCAGATAAAAATATACACTCAGGGACTCCTATAAATACAAAGTACCTCTGTACATGAACACAGAGGTAACCCTCCCTGATGCTATTTCAGTTGCAAATAGTCTGCAAATATTAGTTGCAATTTGATCTGTATGTTGTTAGCAAAGACCTTGTTTCCACTTGGACATTATTCTATTCAATTCTGTTATGTAACTCATTGGTTTTTAAAAATGATTTTTCAGTATCATGTTCACTCCACTGAAGGCCAAATTATCCCACCTGCTTGCTCCCTTCTGTGAGTGCAGGGACTTTGGATGCAGCAGAATTATTGTAATTCTGCCATCCAAAGGGAGAGGGAGAGGATTCTTGGAGGCTATGCCCACAGTTTGCCCTATACACAAGAACATCTCGCTGAACTAAAGAGTATAACAGACATTTATTTGTAGATCTGGGTAGGAGCAGGCTATGGAAAGGGCTGCCTGGTCTGCCACTGGCCATCATATGGGTTTGCCAATTTAGATCAAACAAGCAGCGTTCCTAAGAGTGAATTACTAGCCATGAAACAGGTCTTTTGGACCTGAAGGTCATAGCTTGGGGGGATGGCCATGATGCCCCTGAAACTGGGCTGGTCACAACAGTCTCTTTGCTCAAGCCAAAAGAGTGATTGAGACTGGAAGTAATTTACAGAGTCATATGTAAGGTTATGGTCTTACTTGCCCACTGAGCTGGCCAACTCTAGAGAGAAGTGCATGCCACAGCTCTTTTAGAAAACAGAGCAAGAAACAGGCATCACACATCTTGGACAATATGCCTCCCGTCTTGAATAAGGAGTTCCTGAAAGCTCTACTCAGTTCTAGATATGCTTGCTCTAACCTTACGTATAAAAAAAAAAATTGTGAACGGAAAATAGTTTTACCAATAAAAAATGGTCTAATGGACTAGGAAAGATCTATATCATCAGGTTTCTTTGAGAGAAGAAAGATTGTCAAATTATTAGGACATGAGCAAAGTCTTGAGAGACCTGGGTTCAAGTCTCTGCTCTACTAAATAGATCCTAGGTGGTGATGGGCCTCTCTTTGCCCCTGGTCCTAATCTCTGAAATGGAGATAATAGCACTTACAAACTTGGCAGGATTTTTGCAGTGGTAATTCATCAAGAAAAGGTATGATATGTACAGATACTATGGAAATGGGACCATACTACCATAATGAGAGTATTATTAAAACCACTATACAATTTCAAATATGATGTTACTACCTGCTTTAGAAATTATTGAAATCTTTGTAGTTATTTCCTTGTTGATATTTCAGATGCCACAGAATCATAGAAAAATAGGGCTGAAGGAGGTCATTTAGTCCCACCTCCTGCTTAAGGTGGGGTGGGGTCTAGTCCCCTTGTCTAAACCATTCAAGATAACTGTTTGCCTACCCTACTCCTGAAAACTTCCAAGAAAAGGGATTCACAACCTCTCTGAGTAATCTGTTCCAATGGTTAACCATCCTGATAGTTAGAAAGTTCTTTCTAACATCCTAGCTAGATTTCCCTTGCTGCAATTTAAGATCATTACTTCTTGACCCATCACCTACAGCTACAAAGACTAGTCTATCAATATCCTCTTCATAACATCCTTTAAGTAGTCAGAGACTGTTACCAAATCCCCCTGAGTCTTCTTTCCTTCAGACTAAATAATTCCAGTTTTTCCAACCATTTTCATGTTTGGACAACAAATTATTATTATCAGAGTGCTTGTATAAATTGGGGGGCCAGATAGTTGTTTTTGTAGACTGAATTTTACCAAATCAAGATTCCCAAAAGTCAGATGCTGAAGTCCCTCCTAACAAGGCCTCTATATCCAGAGATGCTGAAAATACAGAGCTCCTTTTGACCTTAATAGAGGTTCTTTTGAATGCTTATCACCTTTGAAAATCAGTCAACACATTTAGCTGTTTTATTATCAATCATAGAATCACAGAATATGGGAAAATAGAAAATTAGGGTTGCAAGGGACTTCAGGAGATCATTTAGTTCAACCCCTGCTCAAAGCAGGACCATCCCCAACTAGAACATCCCACCCAAGGCTTTATCTAGCTGGGTCTTAAAAGCTTCCAAGGAGGAAGAGTCCATAGTCTGGCTAACCTGTTCCAGTGTTTTACTGCCCTTCTAGTGAGAAAATTCTTCATAATATGTAACCTAAACTTCCCTTGCTGCAACTTGAGACTGTTGCTCCTTGTTCTGTCATCTGCCACCACTGAGAACAGTCCAGCTCCATCCTCTTTTGAACCCCACTTCAGGTAGTTGAAGGCTGCTATTAAATCCCCTCTCAGTCTTCTCTAGACTAAAATAAGCCCAGTTCCCTCAAACCCTCCTCAGAAGTCACGTGCCCTAGCCCCCTCACAATTTTGGTTGCCCTCCTCTGGACTCTCTCCAATTTGTCCACACCCTTTTTGGGCCCCCCCCGTGGCCTTTGGGCCACGGGGCGGCCCAAAACTGAACACTGTACTCCAGATGTGGCCACACCAGTGCTGCATAGAGGAGAATAATCAGTTCCCTTGACCTGCTGGCAAAACACCTACCAATGCAGCCCAGTATGGTGTTAGCCTTCTTTGCAACAAGGACACACTGCTAGCTTATTGTCCAATGTACCCCGCAGGTCCTTTTCTGCAGAGCTGCTACTCAGACTGTCAGCCCCCAGCCTGTACTGGTGCATGGGATTGTTCCATCCTAAGTGCAGGACTTTGCACTTGTCCTTGCTGAACCTCATGAGATTCCTTTTGACCCAGTCCTCCCATTTGTCCAGGTCACTCTAGCCCTACCTTCCAGCATATCTACTACTCCCCACAGCGTGGTATCATTTGCAAACTTGCTGAGAGTGCACTCTATGCCATCTTCCAGGTCATTGATGAAGATATTGACCAAAACCAGCCCCAGGACTGACCTCTGGGGCATCAATGTAGGCACCTAACTTTATTCATAGGAAGTCGACCACAGTTTAAAGCACGCCCAACACCTATGGGCCATGTGCCAGATCTGGCCCAAGAAGGGACTGAATCTGACCTATGAAGGTCTTATCTAGTCCATGTTTTACAAACACACACCAAGCCCCTACTCTTGCCCAGCCATCTGATCTGGTCTATGTTCTGTGTTCCGTGTTTTATTAATGGACATCCAATCCCTTGCTGCTATTCCAGCATTTCTGCCCTGTATAGAAGACTTCTCTCTCGTAGTCCACTGCAGCCTCTGCTTATGGTTGCAGCCAAATTAGCCAGTCCAAATTCTCACTCCTCACATTTTTCAGTGACATATTTTTCTGTGGAGGCCGAATTACAGGGATGAAAGATCAGCCTTCCGCACAGAGTAGGGATGACTGGACAACAGGAATGGATCAGTGGCCCAGGATAGCTGCTTGGTCAGATGCCTCTGCAGCCCCGGTTAGTAAAAGGTTGATGACTCATGGTATAAAGGGAAAAAAAAAAAAGTCAAATCTGACTGTACTTAGCCTCAGCAGTATTCTTTAAAAGAGAGGTATTACAGGGTAACGAATGTTTTAATACTATGAAACAATTTCATTTCTAATATAAGATCCCCATAGCCATTTGTGTCCAGAAAAACAAGTTATTTCCATCTAATATTCTGTGCAAAAAGTCAGTAGGAATTAAAATGTGTCTAGGGCCAAAACAAGGCCCCTATCCTCAAACTCTACTTAGGGTAGGATCCAATCAATCATTCTCTCTATTCCCTAGTCCACTGAAATTCCAGCAGACAAGAAAATGCCAGCAGACAAAGTCTCTGGCTGCAAAATGTTCAACTTCAGCAAATTATAAATGGACTCCACAAGGACTCACTTCAAATTCTAAATTTGCAAATGCAGTTTTGGACATGCATATTTGGCACATAGTTATAGTGTCTGTTTGTGCATGCAGATAAGACCATTACCTATGTCACAATCCAATTAGTGAGTTCAAATGAATGCTTTGTGCATGCAAAGGGTTTGCAAGTACAAATTTCAAAGCCATTTTAATGCTCCTTGGGCAATATGCCCCATGGAACATGAATCATGATCTCTGTGAGATTCAGGAGAGTCTCATGAGATTGGCAAAAGGATTTTCCATGCTTCCTAGTATGCCACATACTGTATTTACTCAAATATAAGATGACCCTGAATATAAGACAACCTACAAATAATTTGACTCTATAGATGGAAAATTTATACATTTGTTATAATTTTCCAGATACAGAATCTAATTATTGGAGGTTTGCCTTGGATTTGTTCTTTTCTCTGCTACAGCAAGAAAATAAATCTGTGGGTCAGATAGCCCCTTTGCCCTCTGGCCCCCACAACTTTTTACCCCTGCAGACCCTTCACCACTCCTTACTGTCAGACCCTGCTCTCTCTGAGCACATGGAAATGAGGGGAAAATTTGAAAATACTGACCCTGAAATAAACATACCTGTAATAATTTGCCTATATGCTTAGTTCATCCAGAATTGATGCATTTTGTCTATTTTGAAACTGCTGCAAGTTTTAGCACAGTACTCCATAAACACACTTTTAAGCAGCACTTTTGTACCTTTTATATAGTACAAACTATGCATATTAGTGCAAAACCAAAAGGCTCATGATTTTCTATACAGTTCAGTGGCCTGGGCTGAAACAGAGTCAACAGCATTTCAAGCCATGGTGACCCCACAGCTCAGCACTACTCAGTATGTGTGTGTGCTCCAGATACCCCCCAGAAAGGAGCCATGTGCTAATTAGCCCCCCACTCATGACTAAAAATAGGCATTCTTGTCATGAGCCTCAGGATCCTCCAAAAAAGTATATGCAGATGGGGAACTTGATCTAGCTCCACTTCATGGAGGGAAGGGTCACACTAATCAGATGTAACAGGCCAAGAGAGTGTGTGACAAAGGGATTCTGAATGAACTGTTTGGGGCCCTGTTTGTTGATGTTTGCTGACATTTAAGGCTGGTGAAGAAACAGGACTCACTGGAAATGGACCTCAGCTCTGGGAGTGAAAAAGAAATTGAAATGTATTCAAGGTAGTGGCTCACTATGACTTTTAAAAGAGTCAGCACTAGGGGAACATTAGTATATATCATATTCACATGGGCTGCACTACCATATCCTTGTGGTAGTATCCCTGCTCTCAGGCTTTCCCTCTAGCTTGTTCCTCTGGCATTTTGTCTAGGGGGCATCTGAACTCCAAGGCCTCCAGCTTGGGACCTGTACACAGGATGACTGCTATGGATTTGGGAGTACTTGAAGTCCCAAGCTGAAAACTCTGGAAGGTGAGATATTTACTGGTGGTAGCACCACAGACTTGAATGATTGAGCTCTGCTCAGTCAACAGAATTCAGAACCAATTGGGCCTGGGACATGAAATTAAAAAGAAAAAATCAGTATGTTTTCCCAATATGGACCATGGGTTTTATAATCATGTTCAGTGTTTGCTGCATTTAATCAATGTCATAGTTGGTTTCCATTACTTTTGGCAGCAGTTTAATGATAGACAATGTATTTAATGAGGTTCCCTAGTAGGGGCGGGGGGGGAATCTCATCCCATATTTGAATAAATATAGTACATATTTGATGTAGTCAGATGGTACAGTCCAGAAACTTGCCCAGGTTTTGATACAAAAGGTTAGCTGATGGCATTTCATAACACATACAAATGTAACATATACAAATGTACAAAAACATACTCTAGACACATACAAACATTTATCATAAGATATGGAGAATAAACAGTGCTCACCTGCAATATTCACAGATGAAACAAATGCAGCTACTAAGGCTAAGATTTGAGGAATACCGCTAGGGAAGTAAGATCCTCCCATTAAAACCAAACCTCCAACAGCAGTAAGACCTAAACAAACCAGAATAAATCAATACTTCATAACTGTACATATGAACAATTCATAAGTAATTAATCCATTGCAAACCAGAAGCAAGCAATGATTCCTCCTGGTATTGGCAGAAGCAAATTTAGAAATAAGGTATGACAGCTGGACAGTTGCTTCGTTCCTTTCAGCATTGTGGACTCAGAATAGTACACTGAGATCCCCATCTTCCATGAGCACACTAGGACTTTGGTGGGTTTCCCACCTTTACACTCCACCATGAAGCCTTGGGGGAAACCTGAAGAAAGGGCACAGCCAAATACTCCATGTGCAGTTAAAGCTTCTGCTGCCTCTCAGCCACCCAGAGAGTTCTACATTTTTGCTAGACTTCCTCTGTGATGAGTTGATTATCTGTTTGTTCCAATCCTCTTCCTCTCTCTTCCTCAGCCTCTTTGACTCATATTTCCTCTATATCTGCTCTTGTACCCTCTCCCTTGCCTATCTTCCTTATCCCCTTACTCATCAGTGTCCCCTCTTCCTAAGGCTGGACCTTAGGCTCTGTCATAAAAATCAGAAAACTCAAAGCAGCACTAAGGTGCTGTGGAATGAGCTGTTATGGAACCAATCATACTTGCAGAGGCTTCTGAGGAAGCTAAGTGAAAAAGTTTCATGATCTTAGCTGTGATCTTTGTTAACAGAAATCAGCTCCTGCCAAGTTGCAGATGTACAGTAAACTATGTGTAAGAGCACTGCAATATTATTTTTCATTAGTTACACAGTTCACAAGATGTGCTAGGTGCTTTAGAGGCCTGTAAAAGACCCCAGAATTAAACTGTGCCTTGAGCTCAGCTCATTTTAACATGGATTTGCTTATCTTGGGGGAGCAAGGGATTATGCTTCAACAAATACAATCCTTAGAAGAGGCTACAAGCGTATAGAAGGCAGCTGCCTGTTAAATGAGACAGCATGTTCTCCTTGAACAATCCTGCTAAATGCCCCAGCTCTGCACTACGGAGAGAAGTCTGCTCCCAATGTAAGATTACAGTTGTGCCCAACTCCTTGAGTTCTCCCTCCCATATAACAATAGTGGCCCAAGAGCACAGAGAAAGCTGGCAAGACTAAATGAAGGATGTGGAAAGGGAAACAGCCCACAAAATATCTGATGTGATGTAGGGCACACTCACTTTTTGGTTTTGTCATCATTCACATTAGGATAGTGGGCAGTAAAAGCAAAAGCTACTATATTTACTTGATTCTTACAAAAGCATGATTCTCATCAAGACTCCAGGGGGGTGCAGTCAGTGAGAGCTTTGTGTGGGGAAATTAATCTCAGCTACAACTAAAGAATAAAGACAGCATTATCAAGTGCCACAGGTTTATGAGTTCCAGTCCTAATGTAACAGTTAACAGGACACCTGCCTTTGGCTAAGCCACTGAACTTCATGTCTCTGGTTCTCCACCTGAAAGTATCCTAGCATTGAATTTGATTGTAGATCTGAAATACCCACAAGGAGAAAGAAGAAGAGCTCACTTACCAGAAATTGCATTTGTTACTGACATGAGCGGTGAATGCAAGGCAGGAGTGACTCCCCAGACAGTATGATAACCAACTATTCCAGCAAGCCCAAATGTAGTCACCATTTGGGTAAAAGCAGAATTGGGAGAAATGAGCCCCAGCCCCAAAATGCTTGTCAAGCCTAAAAAGAAAAACATATGGTGAAGAATAAAAGAACATTTGTCTTTATTAGTCCTCAAAATATAGACCAAGAGGTCAGCCATGTTCCCACTGCTTTACCATAGCTATCTATCAACAGGAGCAGGAGGCGCCTCCAGACATACTTCAGTATGCCTAACTTTTATTCTATCTTTGCCAAAGCTAAACCTAGCCAAGAATAGAACACTTTTTTTTATTTTGTTTTTTAAATCATGGGATCCAGACACAGAGCTGCCAACAAGTAAAATCTGTGAAATGTAAACTATTCAGATTGAGCAAATCATAGAGAAAAAGTCCATCAAAAACAAAGGAAAAATGGCATAGATTCTCCAGTAATTTCTCACAACCTTTACTGCATTAGTAGGAAACAGACCACAGTGTACCACATCTGAACATTATTAAAACAGGCAGACCACACAAACAGTTCAGTAATACTTAGCGAGAGAAACCATCATTGCCTTCAGTACTAGTCTGTTTGACCTGATGTGGTAGAATTTCAAAAACTGTTTTTACATTTTGGGAAAAGGTTGTACCACAGTCATAAATACATGATTTCAAATATATCTTACTTACTTATAGCCAGATTTTCCCTCTCTTACTCTCATCTAGTAGCATCTGATTACTCAAATCATTCTAGTGATATCAATGGGAGTATTCTCTGAACAAAGTAATACACAGTATAAGCAAGGGTATCAAAATCTGCTGGTAGTGGGGAGTTAATTTTTAAAGGGCTAACCAGCTGAAGACATCTTTACTGAAACATTTATATGTGCATACAGAGCACTCAGCATTAACTGAAGAAAAAAAATCTCTAAAGTCAGATAATAAAGTGCTTATATGCCAAGGAAAGTATGCAAATATAAACTTAATAACTTATCCACAACCTGGCAATGGCAATGGCAAAATCACTGGGAGGAGATCATAGTTGTGATGAGACAGTGATGGGAATCTTTGGAGTACCATATAAGATTAAATAAGGGAAGGATTAGTAATTGAAAGCAAGTTCTTAGATCCTTTTCTAACTCCCTTTAAAATCCATTCTTCTACACCACCAGAAAATCCCTTTCCTCAGGCTAATGGTTACTCCTACTGTTGCTCATTTATCAGGCACAGGAGTTTAGACAGTGGAGACTCTTTACTTACATTAAAGATTGTATTTTATTCATTACCCTTTGTTCTTTTCAAAGAAACTTAATAGTAGAACAGTGTCATGCTGTTTATGAGAGAATACTATTCATTATAATGAAAACCTTGTTATCTGATTTACTTTCCATTTAAGTAGTATGTTTTCAAGTATAAATAGTCATAACAACAACACCTGGAAATGCAGAACATAAAATGCCTCATTTTTCTGTCAGGGTCTATATGCCGGTTTCAATGGGTTTGGAGTTTGGCCCCTAAACAGCACAATGTTAGCTCTTTATTATATATGCAGTTAGCAGCACAACACATTTTTTGGTAATATTATAGAGACAATGACTTAAGATCGAGTCTCTAAAAAAATACCCTGTGTTTCCCTAAAGTTTTTTTTCTTGTCCATCATTCAATTGGAAGGTAACTCAGGAGTTTAGAAGTGTTATTTAACCTTTCTGCTACTGTTCAATATTAAAACAATGTATAGAGATCTATTTCACAAACTGGTTTAATTACTTTTATTCCTAGAAATATAGGGAATGCAAACAAAATGGGTCATATAGCCAAATCTCTCTGATGTATCATTTACCTGCTGTGTAAGCTCCAGCTGATGTCATGGTCTTCCTGAATGGCGAGATCAAAGCTTGTTTCTCTGCTTCTAACTCCTGCACAGATTTTGGTTTAGCAGGAGCAGAAGGTGGTGCTGTTCTTGGTAAAGGTGCTGGAAATAAAGTCTTGCCTTCCTGTTAGAAAAAATGATGATCAATGTTGTGGATTTCTGTGTCTCTTGCCCTCTGTGAAATAATGGGCTGATCCTCTAGCTTTATTAGGGCCAGATCCTGTTGCATTTACTTACGTGAACAGTTCAATTGAAATCAATGAGATTATCCATGTGAGTAAAGGTACAAGGGCCTTTACTTTTTATTAATGTAATGATAATTTATATTTATTCTAAAAAAAATATTAAAAATATTAAAAATCCTTATTTTTCATAAATCAGAAATTTTTATCTATATTTTAATTTAGTAAACTTAGATCTGCCAAATTGGCACTGATTGTTGAGTTCTGTTAGTCACAAAAAGCCATCTTTGTCCACTCTAGCCCACTAAGGAGTCACAGGACAGAATATGGTCTGGCATGTTTAGACTATTACATTTGATGTATTTCACCCTAATAAAAAATAAATATATGAAGAATAAAGCAAAAAAATTTATAAAACTGACTCTGACTCAAATTAATATTGCTTTGAAACTGAACCTGAATTCATTTCTTCTTTATAATGAGTCTTCTACCAAAAAGTCATTCCAACCTGCCAATATTTAATCACTGTGCATAACTATGCTTTGGCTTAGTGCAGGGGCGGGCAATTATTTTGAGCAGAGGGCCACTTACTGAGTTTTGGCAAACCATCGAGGGCCGCATGACAGGCAGCCAGGGGCAGATAAATACTAATTTTCTAAATTTTTTAGGGGTCCCACAGGCCGGATGGAATGGCCTGGCAGGCCGCATCTGGCCCACGGGCCGCATTTTGCCCACCCCTGGCTTAGTGCTACCTGCAGACAGATATGGATCCTGGACAGGTCTGACTTCACCATATCAACAGAAATTCACTTCATGCTTTCTTCCATTAAAAAAAACAAACATCCCTGCAAAAAATCAGCCTACCCAAAGAAATTTCTCATGCATGGAAAAATCCCAGCACACCCACAAGTAATCTTAGTTTTCACGTACTTGAAGTCATTTCTCTTGCATTTAAACTTGGGTTTCATTTCCCAGTCACTGGTTTATAAAGGTACGCAGATCCCTGCTTTTAAGACAGAGGCTCTGAACAATATGATTTACTGCTATGTTCTCATTTTCTTTTCCATGCACTAAAGCTAGAACATTTCTAGCTTCAGTCATATCATCTCTTCAAGCAGTAGTGCCCTTGCTCCTCCCATACTAAAATGACTATCTCAGATAGACACCTCCAGACACCAGGGCCTTCCAGTGTTCAGCAGAGCCTCTGGTCATGTTTGTATGGAGCTTAGTAAGACTGTGTGAAGCTTCGGTCCCTGGTTCGATTCACCGGAGATTTGGCCCATTTTGGTGGCTGAATCCCCAAATCCAAATCGAATCAGGAGACCCTATAATCACTCTGAATCGAATCAATTCGGAGAGATTCAGAAAGATTTGGCGATTCAGCCATAGACACAGCTTTAAATGTTTTTTCTACATACCTTAAGATGCTAGGCGGCTTGTGAATGTTGCAATGGTGGGGCAGATGGAGCATCCTACAGGCACATGGGGGGCTCCCCAGTGCACTTGGTAGCAGACCTGGAAGTGGACCAGAAGCCGGAGGATGCAGGGGGTCCCCTGTGCATTCTCCGGTGGTCCTGGAAGTGGACCGGAAGTACTTCCGGTTCGCTTCTGGATTTGCTCCCGTGCTCCTGTGTGATGCTCCATCCACCCCAGCATCTCAGCGTTCACGAGCCGTGCCTGTTACCTCGAGGTATGCAGAAAAAACGTTTAAAGCTGTATCTGTGTTCAAATCACTGATTCTCTGAATCAGCGTCAAATCTTCAGATTCGGATTCAGCTAAATCAAATCAGGGACAGTGATCTGAATCAATTAATCGAATCACGGTCCCTGATTCGGGCTGAATCCAAATTGAATAAGGCCCATTTTGGACACCCCTCAAGGTTAGCATTCTGCATTGTGACCGCAATACCTTGCTTGAAACCTGAGTCAAAGCTGTTTTTAAACTTTCTAATGGTCTTTGGAATAGATATTTATGGAGGCAGTGGAATCACCATCACTGGGACACTGATGAATAGCTGTCAGGTGTATGTAGCTATAGTTGATTCTGCTCCAGAAAAGGGAGATGTATCAGATGCTCTATCAAGATCTGTTTCATCCTTTTAATTTTGATTCTCTAATTCTCATACTAACTGAGGTCACTTCAAGAACCCCACACAGCTTGCACACCTCCACTCATGTCTCACCCCTTGCCTGAATACATCACCTTAGGTTCCCAACATACATTGGCGCCAGAGCAAGATATCTAATAGAAGATTTGATTTCATATTTTCTACGGCATGACAGACCAATCCCTAGTATTGAATCCTTCTTTATGAATCACAAATTCAGTATGAAGGTTGAATGTCAAAAACTGAAAGTATCAACACTTTTATTAATCTCTCTGTTGTTCTTTCTTTTAACCCTAAATATCTCCCTGATTACAACTCCTTATTTAAAATATAAATTCATCTATTAAGATGTGGCTAACAGAAACATTCATGTCCTTCACAATACACTTTTATAGCCATTTCTTAAAATTATAAAAATGAGCTTAAAACTCACCTTCATTATCACAGTTCCTCTAATGACATGATCAATAGTCCCATAATCAAAATCATCCCTTGGCTCAAAATAAAAATATTCTTTGTCAGGAGAAATAGCTTTTAATAATTTCAAGATGTTGTTGGAATAAAGGCTACTGGCCTGAGTAGCCATTCTACTTGGCAAGTCTGTATAACCAATGTGCACCACACCCTGATGAGAAAGAAAAATAAACTAATGTCAAACTTTTTAATGTATTATCTTGAAAACCGTTCACATATTCTCCATAGATTTGATGAATATTTTAAACATGCCAGTAAATCACATTCACATATGACTGCAGACATGCCTTACCAAAGCTTTCTTTTACAAGTTAGGGACTTTCTTTCAAAGCTAATAGCTTATTCGGATGCATGAACAAAAAAGTCAGCAATTTTGTCAGCAAGCCAGCAACAGAACAAGCTGGGAGGCCAGTCAGGGAACTGGCTTCAGAACCAGATGGTGCTTATTTTGAGTCGTCAAGTACTTTTTTGAGTTTGAAAACACCTCTTGTTTGTCTGATAAGAATCAAATTGCACAATGCATTTCCCAGTTTAATTGCACTCCAGTCAGTCCCAGGAGGAAGACATGCTTTTAGATAGCTCCATTTTCAATACACTTCAACTGTATCGAAGAGGATGTTTCCTTAGGAACATCTCACAGAGTGAAAGTGGAAGAGTGTAGTCTATCAAAAAAATCCATTTCAATCCCATACTTTCAAAACAACTGCATATGTTCTGACCTCGATGGAGTGCCCTAAATTCTTGTTTTTCCCTTTTATTTTATCATCATTACAATGCATTCCAGTATTAGCCATCTGGACCTTGCAGCTGCCAACTCATCCCATATGTAGCCACAGGTGCTGGCTGCAATGCACATTCAGAAATAAGGCTAAGGATATGATATTCAAGTATGGCAGTTACAGAAGAAGTCAGTTTGAGTTAAAATTGAAACACTGTCAACTGGGCAGCTGTGTGCAGCTGGCTTTCCAGAACACAGCCACAGAATATTAGCCACTGTCTAGAAAAAGACATATAGCAGGCACTGTAAGGATTTTATTAACACTTTATGCCCCATTCCAGGCATTCACGTTCTACCCCACTCCAACAAGATGCACAGTCATTAGTTCCTTGCAGGGGGGGCACTCTGACTGCCTCTCTTGCAGTGAAGTCATGGTGACCCCTAGTGGCTTCAAAGATCATTTCCTTTCCAAAGAAAAAAGTATAAAATTCTGAAATTTGAAAAAAATTAGAAAAAATAATGCAGAGTCTTCAAGCTATTATAGGAGTTAGGCAGGTAATGAAGATCAATCACCACTGCTTTCAGAGGACAGTTACACAGAAGGAATCTTCTCTTGGTCAAGAACATTTATTGAAATCGTTTTCCACTGTAGGGGATTCACAACTCCCTACTGGAGACAATTGATTTGGCAGTAATAAGAATGGGAAATTAACTGAATAGTTGGAAAAAAGCATAGCGCCTTCATAGCATCTTTGTAGCTCGTATCAGCCACAGAACCCTACTTTATATAGTGCTGTGGCTTCAGGGAAAGTTTCCTCGTAACGAAAGTCAAGAGATATTGGCTGCATCTTCCAAGCTCTTCTCCTGTCTCTTCATTCCCTATTTCAAGGTTTTGTTACCATGAGCTGAGGAAAGCCCATACCTTGATTTCTTATCTTTCCTGTACAGTAGTTACTAACTGTATGTTTTTGAATAAGCAGGTAGGCCTCACATTCCACCTGCTGTTTGAGAGGGCACAGCAAAATCCACTATTGTTGGAACAGAAGAGCCCTGCATCAGCAGAGTTACAGTACATCCGAGGAAGATAGGCCACAGGGGAGAATGTGGACCTGAGGAGGAATGTGGATCCAAACTGCACTTCCATGTGGGCATAACAGTAGCTCAGGAGGACAGATTTAACATCAAGCTGACTGAAAACAAAATTGTTCAATTCAGTTCCAGGCAGTGAAATATTTAAATCTGAGAGTCCAACCCAAACAATACATCTTACTTTATTTTCCTGATGAAAAATTGACAAATATTAGCAAAATCAAAGTTTTCCTGGGGAAAAACGATGCTTATGCAGAAACCACATTTTTTGTCCAAAATCTTATAAAAATTCTTAACCAGCTCTCTGAATGAAAGATTTTGCTGGTTTAAAGCAGGTCTGGCTATAAATTTTGTACAAGCCCATGGGATATTTGCAATGAGAGGCAGATAGCTAGGGAAGCAAGGAAGGCAAAGCAGCAGTGCTGCTACACACATAATTTTTGGCACGAGTCTCACAGTATTTTCTCTTTTCCCATAGAGGACCAGCTGCTAGAATGAAATTACCACAAGAGACTCTCCATTTTTTTAAGTAAGTTTGTAGCACCTGTGCCTGCAAAGAAAAGCTTGACAATATGCCTCCAGTATGTTCCAGGAGGTAATGAAAAAAATACACAGTTTAGTATTAGTTTTATCTTATAGTTTTTTGACCATACATGATTTTTAAAACATTTTGTTAGTGATGGTGGATAGGGGAAATTAGGTAAGGAAAATTGCTTTAATCTGAATATTTGTAAAACTGCAGAGGTCTAAGTTTCATTTGAATTGCTGCACTGGCATGTGCAAACACGGGGCTACCTAAGAAATTGCAATAATTTAAGCCTTCTCCATCACTTAAGTTTTTATAGAAACAAATGTATCTTGAGGAAGGAGATGAAATCGACAAAGCATGACTTCTTTTAGTCAATACTACAATAAATGCTTTAGCTACAGACAAATAATTGCACCTTCTAATATCTTATGAATATAAAAGTCTTTCCTTTTCCAAGCCACATCTAACATCAATATTAAGCTAAAAATGGCTATTCTCTTTGTAAAAATCCACAGCTCGTTACTGTAAGATAGAGACATTGCCCATTATTGGTTTTATAAGTCATCAAATAAAATGTATATCTAGATCTATTC